AGGCCGCCCGCAGCCCCGCCCCCTCCGGGCCGGGCCGGGGAGGAGCGCGAGCGCGGAGGGAGAGCGCGTGCGTGGGGGCGCGAGCGAGGTGGAGCGCGCGCGCGCCCGCCCCCTGCCCCTCCACAGCCTGGGGGTGGGGATCGGCTGCCGGAGCTGGTGGAGAGGAAACCCTGCGCTGAGCCGACCGAAGGGGCCCAAGCGCTGCGGGGCGTGTCGGCATCTCCCGTTTCCTCAGGGGGCCGGGACGCGAGCGCGGAGGGAGAGCGCGTGCGTGGGGGCGCGAGCGAGGTGGAGCGCGCGCGCGCCCGCCCCCTGCCCCTCCACAGCCTGGGGGTGGGGATCGGCTGCCGGAGCTGGTGGAGAGGAAACCCTGCGCTGAGCCGACCGAAGGGGCCCAAGCGCTGCGGGGCGTGTCGGCATCTCCCGTTTCCTCAGGGGGCCGGGACTGGTGGGGTCGCTGGCATTTGGGGAGAAAGAGGGGAGGAAGCGCCAGGGCCGATTAGGCCCTACATAGTTAGGCTCCACCCCCCCTCTGGATGATGTCACTCTCGAGGTGGCTGCTGCTGTCACGTGCGCCCACTTCTGGGCCTTTCCTCATGCTTTGATGGCCAGAATGATCCTTTGGCTGTACCCTATCCCTTGGTCATCACAGGAATAGATGTCATGGAAGAGACGTCGAAACCAACAAGTGTCAGTTATTCTGGTTCTCAAATGTGATGTGTAGACTGTCCAAAATACCACAGTTGCCTGTAGTGGGAACTGGAATGAGGAGGGGGAAAACATGGCTTAACAGGATTGGCGGGTTGAGGGATAATGGAGAGGAAGAAGGAAAACGATGTCATCTAGAACAATTGCTAGAATTCTAGAAAATTAAGCTTGCTCGAATTGCTAGTTGTGATGCTGCTGCTGTCGTTACCAGCTTGAATAAGAAGTAATGTGATTTTTAAGTTAGCCAACAAGACACGGATTGTCATCACACAAAAGCCTCGTTGAAAAATTATTAGGTCAAATTTCCTCCAAAAAACTCTCCACCTAGATTTTCTTCCCCTTTATTCCTCCTTTCCTTCAAGCCATGAAACAACATTCAACTTTGCAAGATTCTTGAAATAAAAATATTTTTTCATGTGCTGCAAGATGATGCAAAGCAATCACTGTTGGGTATTTTGCCTGGGTGGACTTCCGTTCTGTAAACTGAGGTGACTTTTCATAGCCATCACTTCCTAATGAAATGCCATGATTAGAAATAAATTCACAAACTGCATCAATCAAGGGAGTTGTGCCTGTGGAGCTTCTAAGAAAAAGAGGGTGGTTGATTGATGGGTTGGTTTGGTAATAGTCTAACCAAATCTACCACATTTCATAGCACATTGTTATGAAATGTCTTTGACTTCTAAAAAATTAATTTTAATTAATTAATTAAAATTAATTTCAAAACAGTGCAAGAAATTAGGTAAGAAATCATGCCCCACAACTAGTCCTGACAGTGAATGCTTGAAAACTCAGTGAGATTGTAGCATTGACTACAGTTAGCATGGCAAGGTAAAAGACTGGCATATGGACTCTTGGTGCTAATTCCAAAAAGTTAGTCCAATTAAAACCTAGTTATCTGTGGTGATAGAAGCAGGGTAGTGATTACTAATGTCACAGAGGGGAATCTTCTAGATTACTGGAAATGTTCAGCAACCCTGGTTAATGGTCACAAGGGTTTATATATACCTAATAAATAACCTGTGCTTTTTTCTCAATTTTAACACACAAATATTACATATTAACACAGTTTTACAATGAAACATTATGATGTCATTGTCAAAAGTTGTCTTTGGAGTCAGAAAACAGATTTAATCAGTGTCACCCACCATTTACCCAGAGATGTGACCTTGAGTACATCTTTGAAACTTCTTTTCCTCATCTATCTACAGTGGGCCATACCTCACAAGATGGTTGTAAAGATTAAAGGAAAAATTGAGAAATATTTAGCACAGAGCACGGTACACAATAAAGTGTTCATGAAACAATCCCAACTATTATGTTGTTCTTACACTTGAATTTACCCTCCTCAATTCTTTTTGGTATTTTTATTTATTTTAAAGATTACTTTGTATCTAAGCCTTTCCCTGTGAGTTTCAGTGAGTCTAATAACATTCCTTCCCTTGAGAAATAACAAAAGGCAGTCAGAGGTATAATATGTTGCTTTTCAAACTAGTTCAAGGTGGCAGCACCTAGAAATTATGCTGTTCATTGTGGAGCACCATGAAATATTGATAGATTTAATTCTTCTATATAGACCTAACATAATTTTACCAGCACTAAATTTGGCTATTATTATGCTTATGCAGATAGCCACATATTAAAAAACTAATGTTATTTTTAAGAAATAATATGTCTGTGGTTTCCCTTTAAATCTGTTTGTAACTTTTTTACAAGGTTTAATAATAATTCACAAAATGAAAACCTTTAAACCCATTTTCCTGGAAATTGGAAAACCACTGTAATCATCTAGTTTTAGCAGTAGAGCGCTATTGGATTTTTGCACAGTAAGCTCAGAGAACTGTGACCCACATGGTCTCTTGCTCTGATAAAGCAATTCTGAACTACTGTCCTTATTTCCTTTGACTGACCTTTTTCAAATCCCTTATTCACAATGGGCAGTGTCAGTGTCCACCGGAATGAACTCATTGTTTCTGTTTTGATTGTCCAATATGCTTCTGTTCAACCAACCCCCTCTCACATAGTTCAACCATCAGGCCTTGCAATTTGCTATGACATTCTAATTTGTGGAGGAAGTAATATGAGTCTGCCAGAAGTGAGAATGTGTTCCAGCAGGAACAGAGAACCACACTGTAGAGAAGCCATCTCTGTCCTCAGCCTTTCTCCTTTATTTTCTTTCCTACTCTATCCAAAACTCTGAGAATGAAAATTGTTTTACTTACTAAAGCAGTATCATTAAGATGATATTTTAGTTTCTAACTTGAATTTGGAAATATATGTTGCACAAGAGAAACCTTCAGTAAATGGCCACTGAGTAGCCCAACCTTACCCTAGCCCTCCCAACTTTTCTGGGGCCATCATTGTATCTTCCCAAATGTCCTTGCTTAATCGGCCAAGTTGGTATGATCATTCATCCCTGCATGCCCTCCCCTGACATCTCTAAGTCTCTTAAATAAACCACCAGGTCTACCTTTCTCCCCTTCAAAGTTTCCACTTGAATAAACAGTAATGTTCACCACTGGTTGATCATCTACTGCCTACAAATACTTTAGTGTTTTAAATATGCTACCTTATTTAATCCACATAACATCCTATCAGATAAGTAGCATTACCTCATGTTTTAGACAGTGGGACTCTGAGAGTAAATTGCTAACTCCGGGTCACACTAAATGATGGATATGACCCACAATCTGGACCCAGATATAAACTTTATCTTCTATCATCCTCGGGACAATGCTATATAAAATGCAAGTGAAAACACAGAGTATACACCTTTTGGAACATCTTATGTATGTGAGTCATCTTATGATGAAAGTATTCTCATTTTCTTACAGCACTGGTGATCCAGCCTGTACATGCTAAGCAAGTTACATCCTGAACCCCAAAAGTATTCTGGAAAGTTGATACAATTTTTTTTCGTGGATTGTTTTTTAAGATCTATTTCTTTTTTATCTCCAGTTGATGACTTCTAATACAATAGTGTCAACATTTCCCCCATCATCTCCCGCCTAAGCCTTTTGATAAATATTTAATTTCTACACTAATAGTTAAACACATGTCCTTGAAGAGGAGCTAATAGTTAAAAGTTTTTAGTAAATCTCTTCTTTGTAAAGTGAAGAATTCATGTATAATGTGAATAAGCAAGCCACTCTATATTTCCTGCTGACATTTATAAATGTTTGACAAGTATTTATACTTACTGCCTGTGTGTAGCTGTGATACATGCCATAAGGCATATAGAATTGATGTGAGGGAAGTCTTGCCTGCTAGCCCCTCATACTCTATTTGGGAAAAAAATACTTAAAGCATTTAAATATTAATACAGCATATAGTAAAATTAAGTGTCACCATAAGTGAAACAGTAAGTTCTGTAATATTTCACAGGAAAGAGAGAAATTTGGCAAGGATGATACAGGACTACTTCTTGAGAAAAGTGAAACGAGAATAGGTAGATGGAAAGGAGATGGCAGGGATGGCCCATGGGACTCTAATGGTTAAGAGACGACAATAGGATAACATACATGTCAAAGAATGGGCCCCATTTGGAAATGAGTTGCTTTTTAAAATAAAGACAATCATTGGCGTAAACTACAAATGGGTTGCAAATCTAAAGAAAGGTCATTGAACAATAAATGTGACTGAATCAAAGAATGTACTCACAAGAAGGTATCATTTGCTAAAAGGGTAGAATGTAGGACAGAACCAAACTGTAGAAAGTCTCTCCAAGGAGGAAAAGATCCACCATGAATCTTTGAACATGAGAATGACAGAAAAGTAGTGTTTAAAACATTCATCTAACAGGGTGGATTAAAATGGGAAAGAACAAATAATAAGAATCTGGTTAAGAAGATATTGCTGTTTAATGAGCTAAAGAAAATGATTGCTGAAAGTCAAGAACTGTGACAGTGGAAATAGAATAGTTCCAATGAGCACAGAAAAATTAATATGTTTCTGAATAAATAATTATGGAGGTTAAGAACAGGGAGGAATCTATATACAAGTTGCAAGTCTAGCTGCCCAGAATACTTGGGTACCAGGAACAAAAACAGGAGAGTAGAAGATCTAGTGTAGAAGAGAAGATCGAGAGCTCCTTTGAGTATTG